AACCGTTATTGCGATGGAGATGGCGAACAAAAATTGACAAAATGTCAGCCAAACAAAATAATTAATCAACGTTCTTTAACTTGAAATGGATAGTCAAAGATAAGCTTATTGCTTAATGCTACAGATTGTTGATAAATCCGTTGAATATGCGAGAACAGTTGAATTAGTAGACGACGACGACGATTGCTACAAGTTTATCCAAAATTATCAAAGAGACCCTTGAGCATTTTGAAAGTAATTGGGAAATATTTTCAATTTCATGTGCTCAATCAGCATTTTATTTTTGTTGCTTAAAATAACCCTTAGCAAAGCCGAGTAAAGCTTGGATAATTAATTTCTGAATGTGCATCTGAATTATCAAACGATTATGAACTTGGCTGCTTTAGAAATGTGACTTGAAATTGGACACTCCAGCAGAGAGTCACCAGGAATAAATCCAACTGGAAATCGTCATAAATTGACTATCATATAAAATAATATTATTTTGCTATTTATTTTGTTTGCCAAGATAAGCCAGGAAAGTGTTCGTCAGATTATCACATTTCTATTTGTGTAAATTGTTAATGTTCAAATTTGAGTGCTATGAATTGAGAGAATATCAAATGTCATTTTAATGGGATTTTGTTTAATTGGCCCATCAACCTGTACTCAAAGTGCTTGCTGCTCTCTGCTGGGCTTTTGCTTTTGCTTTTGTTGTTTTGTTGTTGCACACTTTTCCCATTGCTTTTGCAATTAGAGAACACTTTGGTCTATTGTTTATCGATTCGTTGCAGCAATTAGTATGATGTGCCCGTCATCATCTCTTCACATTTCTGCTCCCCCCTGGGTCCCCCTTTTTCGTTGCCCCAAGTGGCAAAGAGAGAAAAAAAAAGAAGACAACAACAACATTGACTGTCAACGGGCTTTGATGCATGCATATCGAAGTTGACATCGATGACAATGATGATGATTATGATAATGTTGACGATGACAATGACGCTGACTTCTTCAATTTATGTTGTGTGTAAATAACGCAAAGATGGCCCATGAAAGGACGCATCAGCTCCTCAGCCAGGAGACAGACATTAAATGCTAATTAAGCTTCATAATGTGGCACCAATGGATGATGGACAGCGGATGACAATCACTGGACGCAGTTAATTAGTTTAAGTTGACACTCTTTGCACTGGCAGCGTCAACCAACGCCGCCTGAGACACAGCTACACTTAGACAAATATATATGCTAGAATACTAGTAAATATATTTCAAATTACAAATCTTCTGCATGGAGCTACAGTAAATTGCTTTAAGCTGTAAAAAGCAGCGTTTTAATTGTTTCAAATAACATATAAGGAATATTTATCCAAAATCTATCAATTGATATACAATTTATGCATTATTGACTTGAAGAGCAAACTGTAATTTCTTCTTTGTCTTCTCAGAAAACCAACTAGAAAATTTTGTAAGTTTTCTTAAATTTATATTTTACATATATATATATATATTCTTGATCAATTTCGAATTGTTATTTTCTAAATTTCAGAAAGGTTTTACTTTTTAGAAATGTATTTCTTAATAAGAGAAAATATTTTCATCAAATACAAATTTAAAAAAAAAAAAAATTAATAAAAAACTCGATAAATTTGGGATTAGAAATTACTTCCAAAAGCAATAAAACCTTTCTAGTTTTTAGGCTGATTTTTTTTCTGAGTGCACAAAAGTGCATAACGTTACAAGTAAGGGCGTGTCTCTCACACACACACACGCACACACACACGCACGCACACAAATAAGATTAAATGTCAGCTTGGATATGAAGGTTCAACGACATATGACGACGACGCTGACAACGCAACGGCGCCTAATTGGATTTGCAACGGGACGAGTGGGCGTCTCGTCAACGTTGGGGGGGAGGGGGGTTGTTCGGGGGGTGTTGCGTCGGCCCCAATTTTCAGGGCGCAACTTGGGGCGCGTTTCAGCTTGGTGCTTGTGCGTCTCTGCTGACGGCCACTTTGGGGCTTAATCAACAGTCCCAAAACACCAACACTGCTCGACTATGAGATACCCATTTTTATAGATGCGAAATCTTGTTGTTGGAGGAGTATGCCCGACTGAGAGTAACTCTGTGCCGCTTACAAAGTTAATTCTTGATTTTACAAAAAACTTTCAATTTGTGAGCCAATTTTGGACAAGTTTTATTTACCTACTTTAAGCTCGTTTCATATATATATATTATATTATTTGCACTAATTTCAGAGCTTACATATAAAGAACTTGCGTACTTATATATATTAATAATTATTAAAGCAACACAAAACGTTCTTGAAACTATTCCATTTTCCTATTTCAACAATAATACAAATATTTGCAACGACTATTTTGCCAAGTCTGCTTCAAAACCTCCTTACCCCTTCAATGCATACAGGGTATTCAAAATTAATGAAAATGTGTCGAGGTCGAGCTAAGATGTCGACGTTGACAGTCAACAGCGAATTTCGAGCACAACTTTTCCGTTTCCAAAACATATTTGACAATTCCTTCGACATTGCCAGAGCACAGCTCTGCAAAGTTGAATGTTTGTTTGGACATATATATTTATTTGTTTACTTTGTCTATCTGTCTATGTGAATGCATTTCTAAATCAGCATTAATTCAATTTAAATTATTGCCTTCCATTTTGTCTACACTGGGAAAAACAATGGCACACAAATTTAGAATTTATTTGCCAATTATTTTGCAACCTATTTGCCATGAATGAAAGAAAAAAAAGTAACATTGACTGCTCATATTGAATCGTATACAACAATTTGTATTCTCATTTTACGATTGGTTTAGTATTTATTTATTTCTTAACGACATAAACAAACTAAGTGTTATTGAAATCGAATAGTCAATCACAGAATAAATCAAATCTTATTTTGCATGATAAATTGAATACAAGAAGATAAGATTTATACATTTTCTTGGTCGTGTTATTCGATTTTCCAGCTTGTTAAATCAAGAGTTATGTATTTACCCATGCAAACGCCAGCGATATTTCCCTAAGGATAATTGGGCGGTTGTCTGGTCGGTTGGGTGGCAACGCCCGCAATTTGACTATGCATATCCATTTCCACTCAATCAGTTGGCATGCAAAGCAAAACGGATAATCATATATATATATATATATATATATATATATATGTATATATGAGTATTTTGACTTTCCTCTTCCACTTCCATCTCTCTCCATCTTTATATATATCTCAGTGCCCTCAAGTGCATTGTCCGCCTATTTTTGCATACTCTTGACAGTACAATATGAATAACATTGAGCTGGCTTGTGAGTGTTTCTACATACATATAATATAATTGTTAAACACAATGTTTCGATACTTGTAACCTCGAGCCAAATAGAATTTAAGATGCCGTAGCACTTTTATCTAGTCCAGTCCGTCAGATGCCTTTCGACTTAATTTAATTGATATTTGCCTGTTGTTTATTGCAGTATCTTCTTCAGGCTAGAGTCTTTTTTCCTTTTCCTTTCCCTATACCTATAAAATATTAAATACATTTGTATACTCAATTATGCCGTTCAAAGAATATCACCATATTGCTCTACTTACTTTTCCAAAGGCTGGAAAGTGACTGCCTTTATTCGAAATCGCTACCAAACTAGCCACAAAATGGAAAAATCCTAAAATCCTGTCAGAAACTAACGGAACTTTCATTCCAATGCATTGTAACAGTGTAAGAAGCAGATGCACCGTTATAAAGTGCGTAATCAAGGTCCCGTTAGGCTTGGTACAATTCTTAGCACCATAAACACGAGCACCTTCTCGTGACGAGTATGTAACGAGTAGTTACAGTGGGCTTACAGTGCTGTTGGGTGGCAACGCTGGTTAACAGATCTAACAGCAGCATTAGCATTAGTCGTAGAAGAAGAGTCGTAGAAGCACAGCAGAACGAGAGAGTCAAGTTCGTCAAGATCGTGTCAATAAACAGTCGTCAAAGCATCGAGCACCTAAAGTTGAAAATTGGTGAATGTATCGAAAAAATAAACCGTTACTTAATAAACTCGAGCATATTTCACTGTAATATACTCATAACTATTATATTAATAGTAAACAGGATATAATCAGTTCTAATGTATATTTGAGTCATCGATTCTGTGGAGGGTGTGTTTGCTTATATATTATATGTGCTCATTAACTAGCTTGTTCGATGTGTTCGACACACACACATACACATTGATTGTTCGCTAATCGGAAATGCCTTATTAATGAATACGTATGTATATGCACCCAGTACCCCCACTCATTGTGTTGCAGTCAGTCAATCGCATTCATACGTAAATTTCACTTAAATATTCGCTGTGTTTAGTTCGAACTGTGAACTTCAGTTGCAGCATTCGAAAATTCTAACGAATTTGATTAGTTTCATTTACATTGGAGCTTATTCGATATTCGATAAAAGATCTCTAAGCTCACTTTCGATACAATGGAATATTTGCCATACTTTTGTTATCTTATTATTTATCAAGTGTATTTCTAGAATTTATGGTTGTGGCTTTTTAAAAACCAGCGCTTTCATTTCTTAATTTCAGGATGAATTTTTCTAAAATTTAGAAAATATATATATTTTTTTTTAGTGTGTATATTACATATTTCCCTAGGATACTACATCTTTCCCTGGCTATGGCGACGCAATCTGCTGGGTATCGGTATATCGGTATATATTTATATTTGCTGATCTTATTTATGAGAGGTCTCTGACAGCATAACAAACTAAGTTAGGTTTATTATGTTAAGTAAGAAGTTAGACGGCTGCGGGGTATGTCCTAGTCGTGCATTCTCGACTAGAGCACTCCTTGCCATTTATGGTTGCTGCTCTTGCGGTTGCCGGTTGTCGGTCGTCGGTTGTCGGTTGGCTGACAACGCCAGCCAACGCCAACTACCATAAATCATTTTTCACTCGCTCATTCCATCTCTCTCTTTTTTTCTCTCTCTCTCTTTCTCTGTTCCGCTTCTCTGTGCGTGCAGCGTGGGATATTGGCAACTCGGTGCAGGACGCGTTTGTCATTGCCGTCGAGGAGCACGCAAGGGAACGTCTGCAACGATTGGCGGCCTTGAATCGTGTTACGCCCGTGGACATAACACAGCTGTCCAGAAAGGTAAGTTTCTACACAAAATTTAGGCGAAATAGGCGATTGCAAAATTGCAATCCCAAAAATCAATACATGAGCCTCAGTCTGTACAGCATACGGCCCAACCCAACACACTATTCACTCCTACACAAACTGTATATCAGGCTCAAGGTTGTTGTAAATAGGCATTCAAAAAGCCAGCAGCTGATTTAAACAAATTTTAAATTTAAAATAAAATATGTTTAAAATAAACAGACCACTTTTATTGCATACTTTAAGCTATCAATTCATTTAAGTTACTCGTTTCGTAAGCGATTTTACACATTTTTATTTTTATAGCATCACAAATATTTTGTATTTTAGATTTTAGTTCAAAATCTAAATGGAGACAATATTTGTTTTTGTTTTTTTTGTTTGTTGAAATATGTATTCTTCGCATTCAGATAGCTTTGACATTAATGGTTTCATATTTTCTTCTTAAGTTTGTATATATTTATCTGCACTTATTCCAAATATTTTAAGGCTTTTGTGGGCAGATGCAAGCAAGGACTTCACCTTTGACTTTTATATGTGCAAGTCATGAAAAGGTATTTGTTGTGAAGCGAATACTGACTTTGTAAACAGCATAAACAATTCTCTTCACTTGCTTGTTGATATTAAGCAATGTGTTCATCAGTTTTAATTAAAATATATTGTAGCTGTGTGAATTATTAATGGTCAATCAGTTAGTTATCACTTAGATATAAAGAAAAAAAACTTCAGTAAGTAGCATTGTTGATGATGTTGATGTGTTGTGTTATTGAACCCAAAAGTATTCACAAGCCAAGCACAATTAATTTAATCCCTTTCCATCTAGATTCTAGGTGGATAGTTTTGATCTCATCATTTTGTTTCTGCATTGTTTGTATTTCCTTTATTTCCACACATAACAGCTGAATGAATACCATTTTATTTTCAATCCAAAATTACCAATCATTGTGATCAATCAATTTCAGTGAAAGTTTCATGAAGCAAACTAGTTTGCCTAGAAACAGACAGACACAGGCAGATAACAAACAAACAGGCAGGCAAACAGATGTTGGCATATACACTTCGAGAAATTCATATTTTTCTCCCATAAAATTGCGAGTTTTTTTTTACCACTCGAATATATATTTTTCTGATGGCTTGGACATAAATTTTATCAACATTCTTACATTCTTGAATGTAACTTTTAATACTCCAAACCCGTTCAAAAATATGTACAATTTGTAACTTCTCGTATAGCATACACAGATCCAGTTTTCTTCGTCATTTTATCGATAATTGCCTCCGTTTATCGTTGAGAATCGATGGCAATCAAGGACATAATTGTAAAGATATTGCCTTCGAATAAGAAACACAGATTTTGTAAACTAAAACATATGTTCAAAAACAGGCATATTTTCATACATATATCTTCAATTTTAAAAGGAAAAAAACCCGTAATTGTCTGCTTCAATGCATAAAACATACGTTACAACAATATTTAATATATATTATACGAATTAATTTTTAATATTCAATTTATTGCTATCCGCCTGGAAGCACACATGGAAACATTTCCACAGACCCAACAAAAAACAATAAACATAAAAGTAAAAAGTTGAATTTCCGATTAATTTGATGTTGCATTTTTAAAACACTCGAGTAGACACACACACATATATATATATATATATATATATGTATATATATATATATATATAAATATATGTATACAAATACTAGTTGTCAATATTTATGCCATGCAGTCAACTCAGATGAAAGCAGCTTTAAAGCAGCCCCATTTGGGCCAACGTACTGAAAGCATGTGGAAAAAGTCGCAAATTTAATTAAAAATTCAACAAACACGTAGAACAACAACAACAACAACAACAAAGGCAAATGTCAAACGGACAGCAAAATAGAAACTAAAAGTGAAACATTCGTTGCATAACTTTGCAACCAAAACGCACACAAAGTATAAGATGCAAATACACACACACACTCACATTCACACACACACACACAAATTTACAGTAAGCAACAACGAAATCAAACAGGGATTACTTGAGTCGAGAAAGTGCTTGACTCGAACACATCCTGCAACCAGTTCAACTTCAATTTATATCGATTTGTGAGTAATCAAAACAACAAAAAGTTCATTTTGATCGTGTTATATTTTCATATTATGATTCTTTAAGTTTGTATACCCTTGTGGAGAGTATTTTACTGTTTAGACAGTAGTCCCTCAGTTTTGAAGAAATCTTAATAAAACTTGGCAAATATTTATCAAATACTTTTATTATTATTATTGATTAGTTCTTATATGAAAAACTTATCCATGTTATTTTGTTAAACAAGTTATTAACGTCTTATTTACTACTATGTCTTACTTAGTCTACTATGTCATATATCTTGCTTACGAGAATAACCGATAATTATATTGGTATATCGGATTTGTTACCTTTTTTGAGTTGAGAAATCGATAGGCCAACTTATCATCGATAATTGTAGAGCTAGATTCACCACATTTTATTGGTAACGTTTAATAAAGGACAAAAGTTCCTTTGCCACCTGTTGTTATATGCTGGTATTAGAGTATTTCGCAGTCGGTTTTGGCCGACTGCAACACGACTTTGGCGATTTCCTGCCGGAAACATTCAAAATTTCATATGCCACTTTGAATAATATTATAAAAAGTTGCCCATGTGTTTTACGAACTCATAAATCATAATAAATTCCATGAATTTATGAAGTCAATAATTGATGTAATGTAACAGATTGAAAATTTGTATTTTTTTCTTTTTATGAATAGTTTCCCTTTTGCTGTCACACACATTTCGTAATTGTTTATCGTATTGTAATTGATTTAAATAATAAATCACTTGCATCAACTAACAACTATCAATCAACGACAAGTGGCTAGACACAGTCAGTTTCATTTTGATCTCAATATTTATTTACTTATGATCAGTAGCCAGCCAACAGGATGCTGTCCCAGTTCTTGGTTCCATCTTGTTGCTGATTCCTACTCGTCCGGTTAACTGATGAGCCGGTTACCCACACTTGCCACACGCAGCAGCCACCGACTGCTGACTCGTCTTCACTGGCAATAATTCACAAAAAAAAAGTGCATGAGTGCACTCTGCTCGACAAGCATATACCCTGTACTCGCACACATGCAAATAAAACCACTTATTTGTTATCTTTCGCTTCTTTTGTTTCACAAAATTGTAGGAGAAAGAAAGCAAATTGTCGCATTGATATTTATCGATATTTATCGAATCGGACTAGGATACACAAGAATTCTCATTCCCAATTTATGCATTTTAACTTTCACTCAATTTTATTTACATCTTTTTTTCTGCTTAATTTATTTCTGTTAACTTCAATAGTTGTAGGATTTTCTTAGTTGTCCATTTTGAGTGGGTATTAAGAACTGAATAAATAAAACGACGATTACATACGTGTGCATAGGAGCTGAGAAGGGGTGTAAGGAGGGTGGGTGGAAGGCGTGGGTGGTGTGTGGATTGTAATGAGTGTAAATAGGAAGGTAGTTCAAAGTTTGCTTTGGCTAAAAGATGATTTTTGTGAATTGGGTTTGAGGATGATTAGACTGATTTGAGAGTCGCAGCAGCAAGTATGTATGTGTGTGTGTGTGTGTGTATGGGTATATATATATATATATTCATATGTGATAATATAGATATTCACTTGCATATATGCATATACCCTTATTAAACATATACATATACACTTTTAATGTCGTCTGTTGAATTTGTCACTAAACCGTACAGTTTTGCAGGAATTGCTTGGTACTGGGTGCGGTCTCTGCGCCAAAGTCAGACATCGAATCAGCGACTGAGTTCGCCTTTTGTTAGCCTCCCACGCACCCAGACTCAGGTAGAGAGTGTGTGTGTGTGTGTGTGTGTGAGAGAGAGAGAGAGAGAGAGAGAGAGAAAGAGAGAGAGAGATTGGGATGTTGGCACACCTACGCAACGTTTAACAAAAGGTATCTAAATGGTACAGTAAACTCTCGCTACACAATGTTTGCCGTTCCGCAACGAATAAATAATTAAATCGAAATTGAAAAAATCATTATTTTTACGGAATTTTCAAGAGCTCCTCAAAAATATATCCATATTACAGAATTTATTCAATCATTTTATTTGATTGTATTCATCTCAGTTACCTGTTTGTTTTGAGTATTTAGTCATTTCGTGTTCATTATGCGAGCGTTCACTGTAGTATATTGTGTATATTAATAATGCAGATTTGATTAGGCGTGCCAAAACCCGGTTCTGGGAACAGGCGTGTTTGCGTCTGGATTAATTTGGCTGGCTTCACTTAAATGAATTTTGATTGATTTGCATATATGCAAATAAAGCAACAACGTTTTTTCGAGTTTTCATTTATTATTGAGAAAATTGAAGAAAAAGGATGTATGCGTTTGTGTGCTGATGTGACTGAGAAACAGCCTATGACAAAAATAACATTTTTCTTTTCCCTTTTAATTACGCTTTTCCGTTCATGTCTGTATATAGAGGATGTTTTTTTTGTTGTTCAAAATAAATAAATACACATTCAAACATTTTTACAATTCAACCCAATATTAATTCATATCGAACATTTTTCTAAAGCTTTTATTAATTTTATTTTATACACAAAAGAAATCAGAGAATCTAAAACAAATTATGTTCAATTAAAAATGCAATTTATTATTTTATAGTGGTGCAACATTTGCTGCAAGCATAAGGGTAGCCAAGAATAAACCAATCTGACCAAGTTACAGTTACAGTTACAATTTTTAACATTTTTAATTATGAATTAAATTGAATTATGAATTAAAATGCTCGATATACGAAAAGTGTGTTGGACTATACACACTTTTCAAATCAAATGGATTTCGTTTCTTTTTTCCCTCAGTGTAATTGTTGAATATTGAATGCATTTCGCATCGATTATTGTATTGTCCAGTCAACAGTTGTGTAAGTAATCGATAATCGATAGACAAATGACGGCACTGAAACCAATTATCAAGCGATATAATGATTTAGTTGGTATCGATAACAAATTGATCTACCGATAATTGATGAATCATTCATTTCCAATATTAGATTTACTCCATCTCTCACTCTCTGTCTGTCTCTCTCTCTCTCTCTCTCTCTCTCTCCACTTATATATTCCTCTCATTCCACTCTCGCGCTTTCTCTGTGTGCTGTGGGAAATGCAGCTGCAGCAATCGAAAAGCGGCACTGTTCCCAGCCAAAAACAGGACCTGAGCTTCCTCAACGAATCGACGCCGATCTATGTGACGTCATTTAGCAGCAATCAAATCACCTGCAGCAGTGCCACAATGACAACAGCAACAGCGGGTGGCCCCATCAGCGCACCATCCCTGGCCCCAACAACGGCGACAACAACAATGTCAACACCATCGGCAGCACCGTCGGCGGCATTGGTTAGCGCCGCCGTTGCAGCTGCCACAGCGGCAGCAGCAGCAGCAGCGACAGCAACAGCAACAGCGAGTACAACAGGCGACCGACCGAACAACAACAACAGCAGCAGCAACAGCACCTCAACGGCTGCAACAGCGGCTATTGTTGGCGCAACGGCAGCAGGAGCGGCAGCAGCGGCAACAGCACTCAAACAGGGGCAGGCAGCAGCAGGCGCCAGCAGCAACAACAAGACGAGCAGCGCAACTGGTCACATCTATCAGACGAGCCATGCCCAGCAGCAACAGTTGCAGCAGCTGCAGCAACAATTGGCAGCGGCTGCTGCCACTGGTAAACCGTTGCAGGCAAAATCATTGCTGGCGAGCAGTCTGCAACATTTGGCCGAGGAGGTGGACGACGATGATATGGATGATGATGATGATGATGTCGATGGTGCCAACTATTGTGGCATCACCTACATCAGCTACAACAACAAACACGCACAGTTGCCGACAACAACGCTGCCAGCAACAACAACATTGCCAGCTGCAGCAGCAACGCTGGCAACAACAGCAGCAATACATCAGCAGCGACAATTGCAGTTGCAGCCGTCGTCGTTGGGCGGCGATGTTGTTACTGCTGCTGCTGCTGCTGTTGATGTTGGTGCTGCTGCTGCTGCTGGTGGTGCTGGTGGTGGTGCACATTTTGTTGATGCACAAACATCAACATCGCCGCTAATATCGGCAACAACAGCTGTTGGCGGTGGCGTTGGCGGTGGCGTTGGCAAGACGAGCATTGTGACAGCGGCAGATATTGCATTGCCGATGCGTTGCCACAGTGGAACATCCGTACATGGAACGACAACGCCCAAAACCGAATACTCGACGGCCATTTCGAGCGGGCAGCTGCAACAGGCGTTCGCGGAGTTGCAACAGCACCAGCACACCAGCGGCACCAGCAACAACAACAACAACATCAACGGCAACAGCAGCAGCAGCAGCAATATTGGACAGCAACATTTACTTTTAAGCAGCAACAATAACAGCAATAATTGCAGCAGCAACATCATTGGGACGTCCGCTATGAAAAACTTTGATCTTCTAATATCGAATAATTTGTATCCACCGAGACGAGAGGTGAGGTGGCAACAATTGTTGTCGTTGTCGTTGTCGTTGTTGCAACATTGGCTGTTGCACGTTTTCGTTTCGTTTCGTTTCGTTTTCAGTCCGATTTTTGTGATTCTTCTGCTTGATTTGTTTTTTATTTCCATTGCAAGCCAGCCTGCAATCATTTGGCTAATAGACACTAACTGTCTCTCTCTCTCTCTCTCTCTCTCTCGCAGTTACTAACTACGCTTAAGGATGAAGTCATCGTGCACCAGTCCAGCGAAGGCCTTGGCCTTTCTCCATACAACACAACAGCAGCAGCAACAGCAATAGCAGCAACCGGCAGTAACAACATAACAACCCAGCAACAGTTGCTCAGCGGCGCTGCCGTCTTTGAACTGCAACAACAACAGCTTCAGCAACAACAACAACAACAACAGCAGCAACAACTGCAACTGCAACTGCAACAGCAACACCAACAGCAACAAAATAGTCCCACAAGTAGCATATCAAAAGGAAGAACTGAACTTTTACTGGGCGATCAATCGCTGCGACAAGATCCAAGGTAAGTTCTCAGTACATATTAACTCTACAAAATATGTCTACTTATTGCATAAGCCAATTAGTTGTTTAGTTTAAGTAATCATCCTACTTAGTTCCTATTAGGACAAGCTCACGCAATTGCAATTGCAGAAATATAATATATATATGCCCTAGACATTTGAAATCGCTTTAGTTTTGACAAGTTCAACACAAGCACAGCAAGAGCATTTCCAGAGACTTGTCAATTTTAGATGTTGTCATTTTTGACAGAAAATTTGCAAAAAAATAAAAAACATCGCCATAAGTTTAAAGATGTCGAGTTTATATAAGGGTTAATCGATGACTGATATGGTCGAAATAATTGTTAATATATTATTATATTATAAAAGCACTAACTAACTTGAAGTCAAAAAAAAAAACGTGTGTATAAATGTATATTTGTCTATTTGTTCAATTGTATTTAAGCAGTTCATTTAATTGAAATGAATGCAAAGCTAAATCGAACTGCAATTGAACTCTGATTGAATAAAAATAATATTTGAATATAAGCACTGAAATAATAAGTAACAAATTTGAATTGAGCAAATTATTGATTACAACTGCATATGGCCCCACAGTTGGGCAGCCACTGTGCCCGAGCTAAGAAGCAATGCAAATTAAAGCAAAAAAAGTGTTGCCTACGCAGCAGGCGTCGCCTTAAAAATCTTCAATGGTCGTCGTCCAGTGACTCTCGAACATGCTGAATTCATTTGGTGAATGCATGTGTGTGTGTGTGTGTGTGTGTGTGAGTGTGTGTGAGTGTGTGTGTAAAGTTATGTTTGTTTGCTTCTCTATTTGCCTAGCATTTATTACCGTTTCGCCAACACGGCAACCTTTTGCAATCCGCATTCGGCATTCACATCCTACGTCTTCGTCGTCGCCTTCTTTCTCTCTTTCTGCGCCATGGAATTACCTCTCTCTCCCTTTCTCTCTCTCTCTCTCTCTCTGTCTCTCTTTCTCTCACTGTGTGTGTGTGTGTGTGTTTTGTTTTTATGACTGCTTATTTATTTACTTGGATGGCTCGCTGGGTTTTCCAGCTGGCTGCCTTGTCCTCGTCCTCGTCCTTGTACTCGTTCTCGTTCTCGTTCTCGTCCTGCTTGTCATACACTCATTCTGCATTCGCAGATATTTTTCACACATTTTTTTTTTTTTTTATTATTCTGTTCGCCGTGCTTTTCATCTGCAGGTATTTCGTTTGATTGTGTTTGTATTGCTGTCTGTCTGTTTTTTGTCCTTGTCCAGGACTTGTGTGTGTGTGTCAGTGTGTGTTGCTGTTGTTGTTGTTGCCTCCTCTGACTTTGGCTCGGTTGCGATTTCGCTGGCCGTTCGCCCGCCCCGTCATCATCATCGACCATCACACAACCAGTTTGCCGTGCCCCATGCCACATGCTTCAGCAAATTCTGCCTGCCTGCCTGCCTGGTGGCATGTTGTGGAGGGAAGCGCCACGCGCGCTCTCATTTTACACTCATTATTAATTAACGAGCTATTTTTCACACCCTGCGCTGCATATTTATACATTTTAAATCGATTTTCCTTGAAAGCAGCTTCGCTCACTTGTTGCTCAAGAAAATGGCATATATGAAACTGAATTTCAGCTTCAACATGCAGTGTCTTAATTCATTGATCGAAATGTGTCCATTTCATTTGCCTCCGCTTCCATTGAATGTGTTCTATTAAGTTCTATTTTCGAATCACATTTGAATACAGTTTCAGCTAAATATCAATCAATTCTAAGAAGAAGAAAAAAAGATGCATAAAATATGTATAAGCCACAGTCGGGATTATAAAGGAAATACTCTGGCAGGCAGTAGGTAAAATGTAAAAATGATGAGTAAAACAACCAAAGCTCTTCAAAAGTAGAACATATAAGATGAACATTGTGATGTTTGTTCCTCAAATGAAGTATATAAAATTTCTCGTATATGATGCGCGGAACAAGTCTGTTTAATTTTATCGATAAACTTTCTCCGGTTCGCGAGTATCGAAATAAATCTTTTCAATCGAAAGCGGGTCAAAAACATAAAAATAATACAAGAAAAAAATGAAATATTCTGCAATTGAATCTCAAATTAGGAAAACAATTAAATTCATGTTCACTGCATATTTTGCAAATTATTGGGTTCTCGAAAACACATTTTCCACACACATATTAATTGCATTTGAAACAGATTTTCGTAGTTTTTTCGCATTTTTTCTTCCTGTTGCTCATTTTGAGAATATGTAAAATCGATCTTCAAGATTCATTCATTTAAATATATTTCATTTGTATTCATTTCGACCAGTCTTGGGTTATCTGTTAGTCGAACGCACTCGACTAGAACATTCTGACTTGTTGTTGTATTGTGATTTGTGAAAATGAATGTAGGTTTTTAGTTGAGATATATTTTGGAAACAATATAGTTTGCTATTTTTTATGTTGATATTTTTCTCAGTGCTTTAAGCTTGCATTAGTTTAGTTTATTTATTCGTTTATAACTAAATCTAATCAAAGCTACTGATGAAATGCAAATGTTAAAATGAAGTATGTTGAAATTGCTTACAAACATTATCATAAATAGCAAACAAAGTTTTACTTACTTTAAGCAATTAGTTTTTCATTATTTTTATTGCTTTAAAATTGCTGGTGGGATAAAAAAAAACATTTTCTTTTTATTAATTCACTTGTTGCACTCGAATCCGATTTGAATGTCTGAAGCGAGCCAAAAGAAAAAACAGAAAGAAAAACTGCTGACTAATCAGTTGCAGATGACAGTGACACTGACTGGAAATGGCCAAGATGACAAAAGGAACAGCAATAGCAACAGCGACAACAACAGCAACAGCAACAGCAAAACCAACAACGATGATGACGATGATGACTACGATGAAGACGCTGTCAGTTGAATGCAACACGAACGGCGCACTTGAATGTGCTGCATTATTTATGGCTATCACTGTAGTCATTTTTGTTGCTGCTGTTGTTGCTGCTCTTGTTGCAGTTGTTGCTGTTGCTGTTGCTATTGCTGTGCATTTGACAGGCTGCCAAATTGTCATTCTATGATGGGCTCGGCTCGGTTCGATTCGGCTTTCAGCTCGCCTCAACTCAACTCGACTCAACTCGACTCGACTCGACTCGGCAATCAGCTTTTCTTGGATTGGCTTGGCTTGACTGGGCCTGGCTTGGCATTGAAATCCGATGACAGCAAGCATCAATGCTGTTGACATTTGTCTTTTTTGCTGGGATTTTTGAATTGGCTTTTGGGTTTGCTTCACGTTTGCATTTGCGTTTCTTCCTCGCGTCTCTTTCTAGTCGCTTAACGTCGTCGGGGCAAAATTAGGGTGACAATAAAAACAACATCCGCAGACACAGAAGAAACTTCTGCCACTTGTTGCTTTACTTGAACTTGCAACGTACTTGTGCATAATTTAAAGTCAAGCAGTTCCATAAAGTTGCTTCTGTCAATCAGTAACGCTCACAATTTGTGAAGTATTAGTAAAGCTTAGATAATTATGGATGTGAATCTAAATTTGATTATCCTCAAGCTCTATTTTTCCAGCTAGATTTCAAATTGAATTCGTGCAAAAAGTTGAACAGAACTAATATAATAATTATAATTGCATTGCATTTTGAATCACAATTTCTAGATTTCTAGCTTCAGAAATTAATCAATTGAAGCTTGCCACACAGACAACCACGTCGTAAATCGCTTGCGATGCTGTGGAAATATTGTTGCAAGCCGCTAAAAACTGAAAACTAAAACCGTGGCCGGCACAACTGTAGTTTGGAATTTTTCGCCAGTGGTGTGAAAGGAGGAGAGGAGGTGTGGTGGGGTGTTGCAAGATTGTGGCAGCCATGTGTCGAAAGGGAGGGGGATACCGCAGCATACATATCTCTTTAACATGCGAGCCATGTAGCCACCATCGTGTTGATTGCTGACCAGGCCCAAATCCAAACCCAAACCGAAACCCAAACCAGACGCAGACCAAAAACCCAGTCAGCCTCGAAGCCCGCTTGGCATTCGGAATGCGAGGCACGCGCAGGCGCAGCATTTTTGTGGCTACTGTTGAGGTAGGACAGTATTTCCAGGTGATTGTGGCTATTGCTGCTGTTGGTGCTGCTAATGTGATGGTCACTTTCCCATGTAGCCATGGAAAATCAATTACGTTTACGAGCTTACCGCTGCTGGGCATCTAATAAAAAAAATATAAAAAAATAAGAAATATTAAAAAGGAAAAAGGAAAAGGAAAATGAAACAAACATAAGCGAAAGCGCGCCTTGTAATTAAAACATTAATTTCCTGTCGTGTTATAAGACGAATTCTCATGATGCCTAGCAACAACAACAACAACAAAGGCCCTCATTACGGCAGCGAGAGAGAGAGAGAGAGAGTGAGAGAGAGGGAAAGCGAGAGGGAGCGGCAGAAGAAACGAACGCAGGCAGAAGGTAAAATAAAATATAAAGGCAAACAGAGCGCAACAAAGGCGCAGAGAGAAAGAGATAGATAGAGAGAGAGAGAGAGAGAGAGAGAGAGAGAGAGAGAGAGAGAGAGGCAGAGTGCGAGAGCAGAGTGTTGCAGTGCCTGAACTTTTTTTTTTTGCAAAGTTATGTGGAATATAAACTAAATAAAAGGCGCAAAAAAGTTTTGTGAGAATATGCACAAAATGAAAACTTATTTGTCTTACGGCACTGCAAGTGCAACTGTATATGTGTATGTATGTATGTGTGTGTGTGTTTGTGTGTGCATTGCTACTTGGTAACTTGAGATAAATCCGTTATAACTCTTGGCAACTGGGCCGCAGCAGAAAATAAAAGCAAAGGCGACCCAAATGATGCCCGTGCAAGCCATATGGAAATACGCGTTATACGATACAAACACACACACACACAAACACACACACACACACACACACAGACATACACATTTATATATACCACAAGCGTGCATTGTTGTTGTTGTTGTTGTTGATCATATCTTTTGAGGATGCTTTGCTGCTGAGAAAAC